CGCGGGGTGCTGGCCAGCGCAAGTGGTGCTGAAAGGCGCCGGCGGCGCCGCTTAAATAGGACTATTGCCATGTGATGGGCTACGCCAGGAGCGGCCGGGGCCTCTCAATAGGGTTTTTGTGCCTTTTCTCTTGGCATTCACTCTGCACGCTTCCTCATTATTTCACTTGTTAACTAAATGAACTGCATAATGTACTCTATTCTTGTCAACCCCACCCACGCCGTAACAGGCGCCCTGGCCCCCTCCTCTCCCTTTTTGCGGGTTTATTTTCTCATTCTCCCGCGATTTAATATTCTTTTCTTTCTCTTTATTCCCCACTCCCCCTTGGCTTTCCATTGGCGATCGGCCCGTTTATCTTACTGATTTCGGATCCCCGCTGCCTCTACTCCACAGATCCCCGTGGACGTACACCCCTCTCTCGCTGCCCGCTTGGTCCCGGTTCCCTTCTCTCTATTCTCTCTGCTTCCAAAATGCGTGCTGCCTCCACTCCGTCCTGCCAGCTCAGCGCGGGGCCCCCACAGACGTCCCTGAAGCCGGCTTCCGATTTCCACCTGTGGAATCCCCCATTTCCTGGGTTGGTTCCTGCGTAAAGGAAGCGTTTCTAGGAAAGAAGGGCTCACCAGTCCTCACCCAGCCCTAGCCCCGTGGTTGTCCCTATTTTCTCTGAGTTTCCCAAATGGTCTTAAGTGGATGCTGCTCGCTCACTCCGGCTTTGTTAGGTGCATGCTGGCCCTCCAGCCTTTCCTTCAAACGACAAGGCCGTAGATGTGAACAGGAAGAAAATAGCTGCGAGTCGCGCACAGAGAGAGCATGGGGACCGAAAGCCTAGACCGTGCAGACTGAGATCTCGCCCTGCAGCGAACGTGGCGGTGTGAGGTCTCTGTCCGTGTGCGCCGGGCGAGAACTCGCGCACACTGGGGTAGACGCGCCCGCGCGCTCGGAAACCACTGCCTTCTCGGTTAGGAGCCGCGTGAAGCGCGATTGAGTTCTCAGTTGCGGCTGCCTTCAGTCACCCTGACCCGACTCCGCTCTCCAAGCCCCTGCTCCTTCCTCCTGCGGCGTCACTCTCTTCTTTCTGGTCACACAATGGTTAAACAACTTCAAACGCCCGGCGCTGTGTACACAGCTTCAGCTTTTTAAATCGTCCTGGGGCTCAAGGCAGTTTCACCCAGAAGCTTTTTCCATACAATGGGAAATTAGCATAAATATTTGGAATGTACTGCTCCTCGGGACTTCGAACGGAGACGAGTACTTTCGTTTTTTTATTGGAACCGAATCGCTGCACTCACCTGCTCAAGTTCTGAATGGAATTGTGAGAAATGGAGGGGGAAGCTTTCCGGAAGGGCGGTCGGAAATAAGGGTGCCTAAACGCGGGGCATGAGTTTTCATCATTGATGACAGCTTTGCCATAACAACCGCAAAATTATAACTGATTAATAAGCAACAAGAATTTATGAGAGCAAAACATTTGCATGGAGGGCAAGTCCCTTAGCAGGAGTAAGGGCTCAAAGAATCCTTGATCCTTGGCATGGGGTGGAGGGCAAAGATGCCCCTCGCGCCATAGTCGGGGCCAAGACGCCCCCACTCTAAGGCAGCGTCTGCAAACCAGCCAGAACGCATCGCCAAAGCCTACTTTCTGTCATAATTGCTCTCTGGGAAATCCGGGCTGGGCTGGGCGGCTGAGAGTGAGAGGAGAGCGGGGACCTGGGTCTGGAGAGGGGCTCCCCGCTGGGCAGAGGCGGGTTGGAGGGGCCCGGGTGCAGGCGGGACGCACCGGGTGGAAAGGGCTGCCAGTGCCCGGGAGCCGGGAGCCCGCGAGGGGCCAGTGCGGAGCTCTTTTGGGAGCAGCTCGGCGCGCCCGGGGAGGAAGGGGTTAAGAGTCCCTGAATGCGACAAGGCCAAAGCTACTGGGAAAGAATATCGAAGGGGGAAAAATAACCAGTTTTTCCCCCCTCTCTCTCTCCCTCCAGCCTCTGGACCTTATTGAATGTCATTGAAGAAAGTTTTGAATGCCAGATAAAGAGAGGCGAATTAAAGTGTGTGACAGCGGAGGATAAGCAAACACAAAGAGAACTCTGTCACACTTTGGGGCAAAATCCGTGGGCTTTTTACCAAGTCTCTTCGCTATGATTGAATTAAGTAATAGGAAAACATTTTCTTTCAGTTTAGAGCCATTAGACAAAAACTTCAAAGCGAATAACACTTTTTAATGTGCGGCCCCACAATGGATCGGGTTTTGTGCTGAAATGTTTAAATGGTTTGTTGTGCAACTCGGCGCGGGAGAGACCCGGGCCCAAGCAAAATAGCATCCCTGAGAGGGTTTTCGGGAGGCCTGGAACCAACGCGCACTTAATCCGCCATCTCTAAATCCGGAGGGCTCCGGCCGGAAAGGGGCTCCCTGTTCGGCCGCCCTGGGCCCCAGGAGTTTGATCTTTTCAGGAAAAAGTTGCGTGCCCAAGGAGAAGGCCGGGCCGGCTCTGGCCACGAGGGCTCAGAGCGCCTGGCAGGTGCCGGAGCCCAGGGGCCGCCCTGCGCCCCGCGAGCTCAGCCTTCCCTATCCCGGGGCCCAGCCCGGTGGCTTCTGCCCGCCGCCTGATTTCCGGAGCTCGCTCTCCGGTTTCTCTGGGGCCGCACAGCTACTTTCCTGTTCCAAGCGCCTGCCAGGGCTGCTTCAGCGGGGTTTGAACTTTACTCACCGAGCAAACGCCCCCTAGGGCGGGGCGGGTCCGGAGGAGGCGGCAGCATTAGCCTGACAGCCCAGAGAGGGGCGGGGGTCCTGGGCGGTCGCTGTGCCCCTGGAGCTGGTTTTCAAGTGTCCGTCAGGGACAGTTGTACGTCGCATAATTTCTGTTGTCCTGAGCGTCTATTCTTTCATTCTGCTTCCTTTCCTGTTGGCAGAGAGAACACATTATTTTTCTCCTGGAATTGGAGCTCTAAGACCTTTGCAGCAAAAAACTACACATGGGAAGTGGTGGCATCTTGTTCCCTTCCCTCCTTCACTTCTTCCTTCATATGTCACTTCCCTTCTCAGGGAGGCCAACTTTCCTTCTCAGGGAGGTTTACATATGTATAAACCATGTAAACATATTTACTTAAAATACCCTCTTCCTCCACATTCCAGTCTGAGTTCTTGCCGTTAGCACCTTCTAACATGCTGGGACTTCTGCTCACGCGTTTTCCTATTTCTCCCCACTCCCTGAAACACATACTTCCCGAGCACCAGGGTTTTGGGTCTGCCTTGTGCATTGCAGTTTGCCCACCCTGGACAGTTCCTGAGCATTGTGTTTTCTGGATGAATAAGTGAATGAAAGAGATCTGGCACTGGAAGTGGATTGGCTAGGAGGACTTCCTGCTGTGCCTGCTTAACACACCAGGATACTTATGAAATGGCATGGGGTAACTGTTCCCTGAGACTGAACTCCTTGCAGCCTATTCCTCACCCCCATTGCCTGGATCATCCCAGGAGTTCAATGTGTTTGTTGAATGAATGGCAGATGGGTAAGTCAGTCTGTGAGTGCCCAGCCCTCTCCGGCAGGTCCTTAAGCTCCCTCACAGGGACAAGATGGCTCCATTCAAGGCAGATGCAGTGCCCTGATCTGCAGGAGTTGGATGAACCCATTGGTAGCTCAAGGCTAGGAGTTGATATCAGGGTCTTCTCATATTGTATAAGAAAGGGGTTAGTTGGGAAGGGAGAGATATGGCTAAAACTTTGGAATTACCAATGTCCATTTCTGCTCTTTTTGGTTGAAAGTAAGGGAGTGGACATGTTCACATGAAGAAAGGGAGTGCTGGCCTCGTGGCCTAGTGGTTAAAGGTGCCAGATGCCACATGGCTGACAAGGCAGTTTGAATCCTGGCCTCTGTGGCTTGAAAAACACTCCAGGCTGCATGCAGGTGCATGCCCCAATCTCATCGTGATGGAAAAATAGAGACGGGATTGCACATACCATGTCCCAACTGGGGGGGTCCTTTCTCCTTTTCCCTTTGTCTGTCTCTGGCGTGTGCACACACCCTCTGGCAAATAAAAGAATGAAAGAGACTGCTTCCCTGAGCTGGCCAGTAGTAAGTCAGGAGAGAGACAGCTGTTCAGCTGTGCAGAGGGGCAGCAGAGTGCCTGGCATGCCTGGGGATGCTGAGAGGGTCTGGTAGCCAGGAGTGGAAGGACCTAAGGGAAGGGCAGGGAGCAGTGCCTAGACATGGTGTGGACCGGAAGTGGAGGCCGTGTGAGGAAGGACCATGCCAACAGGTTTGGACTCATCCGTCTTCAGAAACTCTTTTTTTTTTTTTTGAGAGGTTTTTGCTATAGGGCGTGTGCACTCGCCAGAAAGACAGAGAGACAGAAAGCAAGAAATCACCCCCCCAGGAGGGATGACCACGCTGCAATCTCTTCTCCTCCGTTCTCCTCTCAGATCTTGGGCATGCACACACGCCTGGCGTAAGTTTAAGCTACCGGGTCCAGGACTTGATCTGTGGTCGACTACATGAGAGTCCAGTGACATAGTCATTATGCCAACTTCTGGTCCCCCTCTTCAGAAATTTTTAAGAAAGGGAAATAACAGAGTCAGATCTGAACTTGAAAATCATAACTGGAAATGAACTGGCTTTGTATCCCAGGACTTAAGGGAGCCGGATCGCATATGGGTTATTGCAGTTCAAGTCTCAGCCCTGGTGGCTTGAAAACATGCTGGTACATGTGTGTATGTGTCCAAAATCTTTTTTTTTTTTTTTTGGTTTTCTTGGAGATATTTTCGCTATAGGGCGCGTGCGCTCGCCAGACAGACAGAGAGAGACATAGAGACAGAAAGCGAGAAATCACCCCCCAGGGGGGGTGGTCACACCGCAATCCCTTCTCCTCCATTGTCCTCTCGGGATCTTGGGCACGCATGCAC